TAAGTGCATTCATATCATGCAGTGCCTTCAGAGGCCAGAAGAGGATGTTGGATCCCCTGGAACTGGAGTTACAGACAGTTGTTAGCTTTCCTGTGGATGCTGGGAACTGAACCCTGGTCCTCAGAAGAGCACTCAATGCTCTTAACCACTAAGCCATCACTTCAGCCCTTAAACAACACACTTTAAAAGGATCCACATTACAAGAGAAAGTCTCCAGATAACTTTTGTCATGCATTGGCCATGAAAATGGAGTATATTAAAGTGTGTGGGCCGCAGCTCACTAGAGCTGGAAGAAGATTTTTAGCCCTAAGAGACTTAGAGAGCATCTCAAATGGATAACTTAACTCCTTATCTTAAAAAAAAAAAAAAAAAAAAAAAAAAAAAAAAAAAAGAGAAAAAAAAAAAAAAAATTAAAAAAAAAAGAAAAAAAAAAAAAAAAAAAAAAAAAAAAAAAAAACAGGAAAGGAAGAGAAAAATCTATCACAAAAGGAAGAGATAAGAAAGAAAACAATAGAGAAAATGAGTGAAACAAACCTAGTTGCTTGAAAAGATCAATAGGTTGGCTGGGTATGGTTACTCACATCTATAATCTCATTATTCCAAAAGCTCAGACAGGAGGATCACTGTGAGTTCAAGGCTAGCCTGGGCTAGAATAAGATCCTTTCTCAAAAAAAAAAAATCCGTAGGTTGACATTTGTGAGATTGGCAAAGACAAATAAGCAAAAGCACTTTATTAACATGAAGAATGAAACAGTGAACATCACTACAGACCCTACAGACAAAACAAAAATAAAGGAGAAACACAAACAGCCCTGCACACAGAAATTAGACAATTTAGGGGAGACAGGCCATTTCATTATGAAGGACTACTACTAAAGCTAATTTTACACAAAATAGGTATTTTACTTTCTGCTTTATTATTATTATGTGTGTGTACGATGTTGAGAGGGCAGTGTGTATGTCACAGCACATGTGGAGGTCAGAGGACAACTCTGTGAAGTTGTTTTTCTCCTTCCACCTTTACAGTGGTTCCAAGGATCAAACTCAGGTTGTCAGGCTTGTGCAGCAAGCACCTTTACTTGCTGAATCATCTCATTGACCTTAGACTTGGGGTGGGGGGAGTATAAATTCAGGCATGAGGGCATGACTGTGTTATGGCACACATGTGGAGGTCAAAGGACACTTTTAGGGAGTCCTTTCCTATGGGGGAATCAAACTCAGGTTGCCACACCTGTGCAGCAAGTACTTTTATCCACTAAGCCATCTTGTTGCAGAAATAGGTATTTTAAGTAAGTCTATACTACAAAGATTGAATTTATAGTCTGTGAAATAAATCTTCAGTCCCAGATAATTCCAATAGATGACTGTACTTTAGAAGTACCCTTTTTTAAAATCAACATTTACTGTATGTGATCTCTTCTGGAAAAATAGAATATGACGGAACACTTTCAACTCATTTTTATTAGGTCAGTGTAATCTTGATCCCAAAACCTGACAAAAAAATAGAATTTTTGTTGCTGTTATTTCACTTTTGAGACAGGGTCTTAACACATTGCTCAATGTGTCCTGAGATTCTGATCCTACTGCCTCAGTTCCTGAGTACTATAATTAGGAGAGAGAGAGTGAGAGACAGAGAGACAGAGAGAGACAGAGACAGAGTCAAAGAGAGAAGTTGGAAACCAAAAATCCATCATAAGGGGCTGGGCTGGGGAGACGGCACAATGATTACAAGCACAGACTGCTCTTGAGGAGGATCTGGGTTCAGTTCCCAGCATCCACATGGCAGCTAACAACCATCCTTAACTCCAGTTCCAGGGGATCCAATAGCACCTTCTGGCTTCCGTAGGCACTGCACAACACAGGTGCTTTTACATACATGCAGACATAACACTCAAACACATAAAATTAATAAACAAATAATAAATAAAGGTATCACATAGGCACAGACAAAAAAGGCAATAGAGGCCCAGTTTGCATGCCCTCTTCTCACCTCTGTACACATTGCAAGTATGTGGTGCACTTAAACACATGAAGGCAAAGCACTCATATACATAAAATGAAGCTTCTCTGATGAGGTTGAGAGATGCACTAGAGTATAATGAAGTCATTAGGAATCAGTCTAATACTATATCCATTGAACAGAAGAATAGTAGCAGTTTCTTTCCTGGGGTCTATGACCTGTCTAACCTCAGATTCTTGGCCCCAATAACCGTGCCAGATGTGGGTTCCATATTGTGCAGTCACCATAAAACCAGGCAGAAAGTGGTTGGTTACTCCAGTGATGTTCATGCCACTATTGCACTACTGTTGCACTATTGCATCTTGCCAGGCCAGTCATTATTGTAGCACCCAGGATTCCCAGCTGGTTGACTGACTGACTACTTTTCTCCTCCAGTAGCATACACAGAACCTTCCAGTACTATGAAAGCTTTGGCTATAAGACAATTTTTAAAGCAGAGTGTCTACTCTGTCCAAAGTGTTATGTTATCAGTCATATTTTGGATATTTAGTCTTCAAACAAAGAATTGGGTAATAAAGAGAAATCAAAGTTTTTATATTAAAGGGTTAATTTTAATTTTGTTTTTATTTTCTTTGTATGAGTGTTTTGCCTGCATGTATGCAAGTGCACCTGTATCATGCAATGTCTACAGAGACCAGAAGAGGCACTGGCCCTAGAACTAAAGTTATGAATGGTTGTTAGTCTATGTGGGTGCTAGGAACCAACCCTGGGTCCTTTGCAAGAGCAGCCACTGCTCTTAACAGCTGAGCTGCTTCACCAGCCCCTAATTTTAATTTTGTGGGCAGGAATGTGGAACTAAGTGACTACCTCTTTTCTCTGAATAGTGCTAAGAAGCTTCAAAGGAAAAATTGCTTTTTCTTGTGTGTATAGACGGATCATCCGTGACAGCAATAGCATCCAATTTGATCTTGATTTTTGAAAAGATATTTTTTTGAAGCATGAGTTCATGTAGTCAGGCTGACCCCAAAGTTACTATGTAGCTGAGGGTAACCTTGAACTTCTGGTCCTTCTGTGTCCACCACTGGGATCAAAGGCATGCATCATCACCTTCAAATTGTCCAGTGCTGAGGAGTGAACTCAGGGTTTCCTGAATGCCAAGAAAACACTTCAACTGAGCTGCACTCCCTCCTCAACCCTTGAGTAGGATTTTGAGTGATGGAATAAAAAAGAACAGAGTATTAAGGTAGAAGGACCACATAGTCTGGGGCTGGAGAGATGGCTCAGTGGTTAAGAGCATTGGCTGTTCTTGCAGAGGACCTGGGTTCTGTTCTCAGCACCCACATAGTGGCTAACAACTGTCAGTAACTCCAATTCCAGGGGAACCAATGCCCAATTCTGACCTCTGTGGGCACTGTACAACATGTGTACACTTACATACATGCAGACAAAACACTCATACACGTAAAATAAACAAATAAATAAATGGATTACATAGTCAACTGTAAAGAAAAATAAGGTAATAGAGACCAAGTTTGCATGGAGTTAGAAGGAACTGGGAAGAAAGCATCTTCTGCTAGCTGTGTCTATAACAAATAACTGGCACAGTAATTTATAAAGGAGAGGTTTATTTAGCTCAAGGTTCTGGATGCTGGGAGTCTATAAGCATGGTGCTGGCAACAGGTGGGTTTCTGGTAAAGGCCTTTGGTGATGCACCACAACATGGCAGAGAATAGTCCATGGAACAAGCCAGTAACTCCATCATCAGGCTCAACTTCATGACCTCATCTAATCCTAATCACCCACCACACCTGCCTTAGGGCCAGTGCTGAGCTACAGAGCAATTTCCTCATTATCTATAATGAGTTCTTGTGGAATTTACTTTGCTTAATGCAAAAGATTGCCCTTCATTCTGCAGCAAATTCCTTCCTACCATACCACTTTAAATACTTCTAAGGCTCAAAAAATTGGTAACCCAGAGGGAACCAGGGCTTCAAAGCTTCTTAGCAATGTAATGTGGTTAAAAAACAAAAACTTTTTAAAAGCAAGAAAACAGAAAAATCCCTGGAGAAGGCGCTCCAATTAGCGCCTCCTTGGCAACTCAGAACCAACCAAATGACTCTGGTGTAAGATTAAAGCTCGCCTTTCTCTTTCAACTAGACTTAAAAACCCATAAATTATGTTTAGACAGGAGGGTGGGGAATTCCTAGCACCTTCCTTTCCCACCTTTTAATATTCTATACCTCCAGCAATAGTTATTTATTGCCCCCACACAAGATCCCGGGTGACCCCAGTGATCGCCTGTTTTCAGGCTGGCCTGAGAGGACTGCAGAATGCAGCGTCCTGGGTGGAGAAGAGGATCCGGATCCTGCCAAGTCCTCTGAAGATGGAAGTATCAAGTTCCTGGGTTTGCATATTCAATTCCAGGGCTTCAGTGGGAGGTAATCATTGGAGACTGCATCTGAAGAGATGCATGGGGTGTGTCCTGATTGCGCGCGCGCGCGCGGGGGGGAGGGTTCCCGGCCTTTGTCCCGGAGTATGGGGGTGTATGTCCCCCGAGGTGGGTGTATTTGCCCCCAAGGTGAAGGGGGGGCCTGACCCCTGAGGTCGGTCCCCCGGGCCTCTAGAACCTGCGTCCTCCCCATCGGCGCTGTAACCAGGCGTGCTCTTGGCCCGCCCGGCAGGCTTTCGAGGTCCCCACCCCCTGACTCCGCATCCCTGCCACGCACCCGGGCCTGCGGCGGATGCCCCAGCGAAGACCCCTCCCCTCCCCTGTCCTTACACCTGCGGCCCCGCCCCTGGACAAACGCTGAAGTACTGGCGACGGCCGGCTGGGGCGGTCCAGTCCCCCGCTCTGCCTTTCCTCCCGTCCCCCAGGCTCAGCCACCGAGCCGCCGCCGCCTTGCTCTCTAAAGGGGTCCGACTCCGGAACCACAACCAAATAGCTGAGCCTTCCTGGCCCGCTGCACAGCCTATCCATTGGACCCTCCCCGCCCTACCGCCGCCTCCATTGGCTGGTGTCGGAAGGCTCTGCACGGGATTGGATCACGCCGCCGTCGCTCATCCTTGGAGCCACAGATCCCGCCTCCCCGGCGATCAGGATAGTGTGCGCCGCGGGTGCTGGGGGCTCGAGAACCGAGCGAGCTGGTTGAGCCTTCAAAGTCCTAAAACGCGCGGCCGTGGGTTGGCCGTGGGTTCGGGGTTTATTGATTGAATTCCGCTGGCGCTGGCGCAGGAGTCTCTGCAGAGAGAGAGAGAGAGAGCGCGAGAGATGGAAATGGATAAACGGATTCCTTTAGAGCTGCGGAACAGGACGCCCTCTGATGTGAGCATTTGCCAAAAATATCTCTGTCGGTCCGTTCTCCTACTTTGCGTTGTGTGTGCGTGTGCGTTTTGGGGGAGAAGCCACTTTTTTTTGGAGGGGGCGGTGGGGATGTTGCGGGGTTTGAGGGGTCGGCCTGCAAAGAAATTGAGAGGTTGTATCGGGTGGGGGGTTGCAATGCCATCAGAGCCTATTCAGGCCGCCATGGCCGCTGCCCTTGGTGTGACTACCTGTCGCGTACGCGCCCTTTCTCTCCCTCCCTCCCTTTCTCTGCCAGCCTTCCTCTCCTCCTTTCTCCCTCCCTCTTTCCATCGCACCTTTAGTCCAGATGCTACCGTTTCTTCCTCTTTCCGCGCCAAGGGATAATAAATTGCAAGCAGGGGGAGGGATTGTGGAGCCAGCAAAAGGCACAGATACTCCAACAGCGAGGTGGGAGGTGGCGGTGGCGGGAGCTGGCCCCGGGAGACCCCACCCCCAGCCCACGTGTGCTTTGGGCCCTAGTTGGTCCTTCCACCGGGCACCCTAGGCCTCAAGTGAGTGTTAAGTCAGGCTCCAACACACTCAGAGGTTCACCATCTGACACCACACCCCCTAACACACTCAGCAAGAACTGAAATGTAGCCTTGAGGATCCTCCCAGTCATTTGCTTTTTAGGTGCTGTTTGGTGGAGGGGGCGATGTATCAGAAGGTTTTGGCAGGCGGGAGGGGCTCCTACAGGCAACTCTGGTGGTGGCCCTAACTGATGGCTAGGATAGCAGGAGAATATACCCAGGAGGGTCGAGTTGTTAGGATGCACCAGGGAACTCTGGGACTGGGCTCTCTATGAAGGGAGGTTGATAGATCATCTCTGAAGCAAGAGCAAAGCAGATTCCTGGGGTCCATCCTTGCATGTAGGTTTACTGCTAGTTCAAACTTCAAGTAAGCTGCTTGTCTTTACCACTCACAGGCCAAAAATAATTTGTATAAACATTGAAAGATTTATGATATGGGACACTTTTTAAAAATACTTTTATTTATTTTGTTTTTTGAGACGGTCTCCCTGTAGCCCTAGCTGTCCTGGAACTGGAGTTAAGGACGGTTCATAGCCACCATGTGGGTGCTGAGACTCAAACCCGGGTCCTCTGCAAGAGCAGTGGGTGCTCTTAACTGCTGAGCCATCTCTCCAGCCCCAGGGACACTAGCTTTGCCATCTCTCCAGCCCCAGGAACACTAACTTTTTAAATTTCCCCAGCCCCCAAATCACACTTGTCTCATTAGCAGACTTATATTGTAGAACCCTGAGACCCTCTTCATTCACCTGCTACCCCCCAATCCCTCCAGACCCCCACTAATTGCTCTTTTAGCTTCTGTAAAATGTTTGGCTGCTGCTTTAGACATGCCTAGACATACCCTGGCATGCCCTGACCCCTGCCTGCTTTTCCCCCCCCCCCTTCCGGGAAACTATAGATTAAGCAAGCCCGCGAATAAAAACTGCCCTATAAGGTAAAAACGGAGACTCCTGGCCCCACAGGTAACAGTCAGCACATTCCACAGCCCTGAGAATAGCACCTACCAATAAGAAACTTCCAGGGCTGCATCTTATACATCTAATTGGTTTAAGATTATGTTGGCGCACGCGGGCTCCTTGAACCAACCAAAGTGTACCTTTGGTATCCCCCCATCCTTTGTCTAAAACCTATAAAAGGCTCCACTCTCCTGTACTCTGGGCTCTCAGCA